ATCTCAATATTTTTAATAACAATTAACATATCTTATCGTTTGTAGGAAACAACAATGCCGAAAAATCTTAATCAAGATTCAAATCATGCTAATCCTAAGGAAAGATACAACCCCCAAATAAAAGAAGATTCTGTAAGTAATTTGTACATATTTCAGATTATGTTTATATATTATATATTAATCTTTGCTTTCAGTTTGCATATTTTAATAAAAAAAGAGACCTATTAGAGAAAGATGAAGTAAAAGAGAAACCTATCGACTTACAGACAATTAAGGTACATTTGAATTTAGATTCTTATTTAAAATCTTATTCTTTTGTATTGATAACGATTTGACCTATCCATAAATAAAATAAAGAAAATATATTAACTTCCAATATTTTTTATGAAACAGACAAGGGTTGACAGAGTACACATAGATGGTCTCAAGCGAACAAAAGATGATATAATAAGAGCCCAAGTAACAGACCTCTTTAGAGCTAAAGATTTTCAAGATGTTATTATACGTGCCCATAAAGTCAAAGGAAAGCTAGAATCATTAGGATGTTTCAGAAGTGTTGGAGTTTACATTGATACGAGTGAAGGTCCTCATGCCAGTCCAGAAGGCGTTGAAGTGGGTCTATATAATTACACACTAATTCAACAACAAATAAGTAATTTCTCAGATTTAATTTTTTTCAGTTCATTGACAAAATGTTTACTTAAAGATTAGATAGTCCCATGAGAAATTTCAAGTCACATGGTCTTTCAGATCACCTTTACGGTACGTGAAATAAGACGACTAATAGGTGGAATTAATACTATGGTTGGAAATAATGAAGGTTCTGTAATTATTGGTGCAAAAGCACCCAACCTATTTGGTAGAGGAGAACGACTTCAAATGGAATATTCTCATGGTACAAAAAGTTCCACAAATATAAATGTGTCAGCTGTTAAACCACTTGTAAATAGTTGGCTAAACACAGTGTATGTAAGATTATTTCTCTTTTAGTAATTTACATTTTCAATATATTAATTAATTTGTTTTTTAGGCTAACTGCTAGTGTGTATAATCAAACTAGTGATTTTCCATGGTCTGGTTTTAACCAGTGTGACAAAGGCCTTTTACTAGATATTGGTTTTAATCCAGATGGAGCAGGAATACTGAAGCATAATTTACAGTATGAAGCCACATGCAGAAAAATTGTTTGTTCTAAACAAGCGTCGTTTTCCGTACGTGAACAAAGTGGCCCTAGTTTGAAATCTGCATTACGACATATTTGTTCCATTGATAAACGAGACTCTACCATATTTCCTACCATGGGAAGTCTGGTACAATTTTCTACAGAGATTGCTGGACTTGGTGGGAACATTGGTTTTGTAAAAAATGAACTTACTATGCAAGCTAATTGGTCACCACACGAATATTTTGCAAGTATTATTTAATTTAATTATCAGATAATGCCTATGCATTTATTAATTTGTTCTATCTTCTATAACTAATGTTATTGTGGACTTTTAAATAGACTTTCCAATTGGGTCTTCAATCTGGACTACTTCGTGGAATTAACGACGATAAGTTCATAAGTATAGCCGATCGCTTCTTTTTGGGTGGCCCAATGAATCTTAGAGGATTCGAAATGAGAGGATGTGGTCCTCGCGACAAAAACAACTCATTAGGTGGTGATGCATACTGGGCAGCGGCATTTCATTTGTATACACCACTGCCATTTAGACCCGGTCGTAATGGTATTGGAGATTTGTTCAGGTTACATGGTTTCGTCAACGGTGGAAATTTATCAACAATTTCAAATAATTTTGGTATAGATATTTATAAAATTATCTAGGAATAATAATACATTAATACGAAAATTTTTAGGCTGTGACAATTTATTAATATAATTTTAGTGTAGAGACGTCTTAGAAATACTACGAAGTATAGTATTCTTTAAAACTAATGAAAAAAGACCAATAAAAAAAATTGATAGCTCTGTTTTAATTTAGTTCTTGTTTAAAGTTGTGAAATAGAGGGATTTGTATTAGCTCAAATAAATTCTTCTAAATATTTCAAAATGACAAAATTGTTATTTTCAGATTTGCATAAGAATCTGGAAATCTTTACAAAGGATGTACGTTCTTCAGTCGGTGGCGGTATTGTAATGAAATTGGGAAACGTTGCAAGAATCGAATTGAATGTAATTACACCTCTGAGGTTTATGAAAGAAGACGTATTGCGATCGATTCAATTTGGTATTGGATTGCAATACTTATAAGTATTTATTTGGGAGTAGTAAATTGCTTATCTTGCATTATTTTTTATGCCAGTAACGTGGCTGTACAACACAAATTACGATTATGATTATAACATGTTTATTATTACAAAGATGTATTCTAATCATTTGAATGTGATTAGCATTCAATGTCTAAAAAATGTTTCCAATAAAGGGTAGTACAAATTCTATGAGTATTTAATAATGATTTTCCATTTTTCTGATCATGTTGTAAGCATGTGAAATCCTGTATGGAATTGGTACATTTCATTCTTTTGTTTGCATCAGCGTACACGTGCATAATTTCTAGGAAACTAAAAGATTTCATCAGTTAATGAATCATTTTCCACATGTTGAATGATTAGGAAATACTTATTTTCTGACTATTGTACTATTTAAATTTATGCATGAATTTCCTTACGTCCGTAATTTTTTAAGAAAATGGAAATACAATTTGTACGTGTGAGCCCGATCTATCACTATCAATTATTTTACATGCACAAAAATATCATTTTTGTATCATAAATGCGACAATAAAAGGAGTACCTCACTTAGTGAGCGAAACGAGGGCAGGTAGAGAAATCTGGTTGGCTGATGCTTCATAGCTAAACAGTGCTGCCCTCACGGTTCTAGACAAAGAGAGGTAGATGAGTAAGCAAGAGAGTACGATATCAGTACAATACCAAGCAAAACAAGTCACACCGGCGACCAATATAGCTTGTCTCACTTTACCGTGCTTGCGTTCTCACTCTTTTCGCGCATCCATATGCCTGATGCTCCATCTAAAACACGTGGCGCGATATTCGACTTGCACTTTTCGCCTCATAGGATTCTCGACCATACAGTCCAGCGTATTTGGGAACGTCTTGAAACGACGATCATTTTTACAATTATTAAAATGTTCGAAAACCCGTAAGCTACATTTTAGCTAATGGTTTCTACTTTATGAATCATCAAATTTTTTTTTTAATTCATCCATCACAGTACTTTTTAACTGAGACGATCAGCAATCAATATTCTACTGTACGAGAAGAAGTTTCGAAAGCAACGAATAATTTCGTAATTTTATACGATTTTTACTGTTAAAAATTTGAAAAACGAAGCTGAAACTTGCATCCATATCCTCTTACAGAGACTACATATTTAATGTAGTAATTACCTACAAAAAAATTCTCAAACTCAGAGTTTTATAGAATTAGAGTTAAGAATTATTTATTAAGTATATTACAATTATTGAAATTTTTTTATTAAAATATTGCTAATGATTTTTAGTTTACGAATCTATAGAATTTTTTAAATTCAGCCATCCCGGTCAACACAGTCACTATTATACTTTACGTGAATGAGGCTAGAATGAATTTGAGGCACTGAAAAGGGCCAGAAATTTTCGACAAAAATGAGGTATTGCGTGAAAAGTAAAAAAATTAGAAAGTTCTAGTGTAATCCGTCTTAGAAGATAGAGGAGAGTTTTTATGAAAAGTTCTTTGTCCAGCACGAAAATTTCTGAAAAATTCTATAGACATTTCTGAAGAAGAAACGACTTGATAGAAGTGTTGGTACGATTTACATTTTGAGCAGGTAAAGAAAATGCTTTCCAGGTATCAAGGACAGGTCATGAAAAGTAGGGTTCGATTGCTTGAAAGGTCTCATTCACGTGTTTTTCGTCAATTTTACGATTCGTCTTAATGACTTGTCTTCTCTCCCTCGTTGCGGGTCCGGTACCTTTTCTTTCATCCATTCTTATTTCGATCAATGCATGCTAATTGACCCATTCACTTTTACGACTTGTCCATTTTCTATTTTACCGAGACCTACAAACAACGTTTTATTATATTCCTAGTTTCGTTTATAGCTTCGATATATACGAAATTATCTGTTGCTTACGAAGCTCTTTCTCGTAGAATATAATATTGACTGTTGGCCGGGATGGCTGAATTAAAAAAATTTTGTTGATTCATAGAGTAGAAATCATTAGTTAAAATGTAGCTTACAGGTTTTCCAAAATTTTAATAATTGTAGAAATGATCGTCGTTTCAAGACGTTCGCAAATACGCTGGACTATGTGGTCGAGAATCCTATGAAGCGAAAAATGCAAGTCGAATATCGCGTCACGTGTTTCAGATGGAGCATCAGGCATATGGATGCGCGAAAAGAGTGAGAACGCAAGCATGATAAATCGAGACGGCCTACGTTTCTCGTGTGGACACTCACACATAGAATCCGTCTCATTCTGTCATTTGTTTCATTCTGTTTCTCTCGATCATCCCCCACTCTCTTTTTAAAGCAACTGCGCGAACCTGGATGCACAGTGAAATGGTGGGGATAGAAACGCTTCCTACGGTGAAGCAAAATTGCTCGCTAAGGTGAGTCTTGACTGAATCATACGTACGGAAAGGTTGGCTACAACAGCGCCACAATCGCATGAATCACAAGTATTCTGTGCATCAACCAGATTAAAATGGCCGCTTGAAAGTTATTCTCGAAATGTGTGCTGCGATACTCTGTCATTTTACAATGGAATCCTTTGAAATTATTGAAGAATCTAAACGAAGCATTGTGTCCGACGTAACGAGATTTATCGAAAATTCTTTGATTGAAGACAACAAGTGCATTACATCGAAGAATCAGTCGTTAAACTGCGAGCAGGATTGTCTACGTGATTGTGGTTGTCACGGTTGTGGGGGCTATCTTTGTTGTATGTATGCGTAAAAAAACTTATTATCATTGGATCATTGCATTCCCGTGTGTAGTAGTAGGTCATAATAACAGCTTCACATATGCGAAAACGAAAGTAACAGTAAAGCTTTGGTTACTCTATTTGGAATACGCATGATTCGTCCGTGGCGTGGACTGCACTGCAATTGTAAATTTTTACATTGATTCGCAAATGTTCTCAGAAATATAAAAATGTTGCCGCATTTAATCTGAATGTTTATATGCTTTAGAAATGTTTAAATTATGCAGTTATTACTGAGCAAAAACAATATATGTAGAAAACAAAAGTATTATTACCAGGAAATATGTAGGAACGTCACAAGTACAGTCAGTCAAACAAAATTATGTGCAACCAAAAAAATTAGAATGCCATTGTAAACGTAATGATCTTTCTAATAAATATAAAACATATGTCATTAGCTTGCATATAAAAATTAGGGATATGTTTTAATGTATAATTTTTCTCAACATACTTGTAATTGATTTATATTTTTATAAGTATTTTTTTTTTTTATACATTTCATGGTATAAGATATGTTTATCCTGTGATCTGCTCAAATTTTACAATGTATATTAAACAGTAAACAATACAAGTAACGTTTAATAGATATAATTGGATTGACCATTTCAAGATTCTTTAATTGGTTTTATCAATGTGTCAATATTAAGAAACCTTAACTTTGCCTTATAAATATACTTTTGTTATTATTAGATGAAAGATGACATTAATTTTTAACATTTTGTTTATAGTGCAACAAAGAAGATTTATGAGGACTAAGAGAGGTGGTCAGGGAATCTTAGTCTGCTGAATAAGATATGTAAGTAAATTAAACATAAACAATTTATTTAAATTCTTCATGTGATATTATTTCTACATTTGATGACATGTTTTGTGCAGTGTATTAACAATGGAAAAAATGTATTCGATGAACGATACATTGAACAGAGGAAGTAAAATGTCAAATCCAAAACGAGAAAACATGTTTAATAGTGTGTTCAGTGCTTTGAATCTGATATGGGACAGAGTTACCAAAGTTCATGCATCATTTATGGCAGGCATTAATTACCCACTTTCAGTAACAGTTGTGCATAATGAAGGTATAATTCCTCATGAATTTTTTAAAGATTTGACAACTAAAAGGGATGGATTGAGCACTGATAATGTGTACATTCATAATACTTCGATGAAAGAGTCTTTAAATATCATGCAGAATCTTCATCATAGTATATTGGAAGATCAGGAATTGTACATGGGTGATGTTTTTAATGAGAATACGATGGAGAATTTCAAATTCAATTGTAATTACATCAACATTAGTAACAAAACTATTGAGAAAGACCCAGTTGTTAAGGAGAATTTAAATCATTTATCACCAATTGAAACATCAAACAAGGAAAGTATACAAGGATTGTTTGAACACATTTATCTAGATAGCACAGAAAACATGAACAATGTACATAACTATGAATATACCAATGGTATGAGTATTCCCAATAAGAAACAGTCTTCTGATTGCATAGAGAATAATGTTAATGACAAAATAATCGCAGACAGGGAACAATTTTTGTCTACGACTAGAGCAGATTTAGAGAATGAACAAGAAATTAAACAAACCTCTGTACGTAATGTATTGGCAAATGTGTGGCAAGTGGTTTATGGAAATATGGCAGATCGTTTTAATAGAACTGACTCACTTCAAATAGACACAATAACGAAACGATCACTCTCGCCAAAGCAACGAAGGAAACATAACATTATAGCAAAGGGCAGAGGTCGTGGTCGTGCAAGATCGCAGCTTAGGCGTTCTGGAGTAAGTCAAACTTGGCACAGAAAGGAACGCACTAAGCACGATCTTGCCGCAGATATCCAAAATGATTTCGAAAATTGGCAAGAAGAAGACTATTACAGCTTAGAGGATGACGTAGTAGACGGATTAGATACTTCAATAACAGTTAATAGTCATGAAGCGTTTACATTTGCTGATGTAGAACAAAAATTGCAAAAACCGAAATCGCATAAGACTTATAATCATGGAGTCCCAAAATTGTCTGTAAGAATGAGATGCATACCTGAGTACATAGATTTTTGTAAAGAAGACTATATTGAGGATGAATACCATTGGCACAGAAGTACATTCCGACCGCGTTTGGTATCAGAGAGTTCTGTTGATTCAGAAGATAGTTGTGGTATAGTTTTTGAAACAGAATCTGAAATAACTTGGAGAAGTAATATTGAAGACACAGATGATAGCGATACAGATCAAACTAGTGATGATGACGAAGACGAAGACGAAGACGAAGATCAGACATTGAATCTTAAGAAACTTATTTCTCCAGTTCAAAAAGTAAATAGTCATTTGGTAGTTAGAATTATTTATCTAAATCCTTATGTACTAAAGAGAATGAAATTTTAATTGTAGGTAAAATTTAATTTGAATCCAATTGTTCATGTCATGGTTCAGTGGGATTATGCCTATCGTGCTGCTCGTAAGGGTCCATGGGAAGAAATGGCCAGAGACAGAGTGCGATTTAAAGGTCGTATTAATTGTATAGGACGCGTTCTTAATCCAATATTAAGTACTCAACATCGACTTCGCATTTGGCAGGAAAGATTTGCACTTGTTGATTAGAAAGTCTGTTCACTGTCCTTCTAAGGTAATTCTTTGATTAAGGTCTAAGTGCTGCGAAATGTAGTAGAAGAGATGATGTGTTTCAATAAAAAGAAATATGTATAATAAGTCTTCCAGAACAATAAAATAGGCTGTGAATAAATAGTGTAGAACATCCGTTTGAAAAGACATTGTTTTTCAAATTACAGTACATGAATAAATTGTTTGCTATTTATGCTACATTATTGTCTGCTACATGCTAAATAATTGTTTTCATTTAATATTTATAAAACTATAGGGTTTAAATTCTTGCCTGTAGCTAGTCCAATATTTGTAGGCATATCAAATACCAGTAGAGCTTATGTTATGTACTGCACGAATTATGTTGGGTGATAGACATAATTGTAAAAAGATGAAGTGCGTTTTATAATCATAGAAAGACATGATAACATAGGCAATAAATAATTTGATAACATTTTATAAATGAAAGATAAGATATTCTTATTATGTCACCCAACATGATTTTAGTAATAAATATTGATGTACATAAGAAAATATTAATATAGAAACACTTAACTTATACAAGCGGAAATACAATGTTTATTAATGTATTTAAAAATTCATCTCTTTGAACGAGATGCATATATATTATAGGGAAATATACATATGTATATAAATAATAGAGAAATATAGCCAAATCTTAGCAAGCTATAAAGTTTAATAGTAAGAATTATATGATTCTTGCAGAGAAATTTTATTTTCAACAAAGATTGTGCATGGTTTGGTAAGAGGTATGTCTGTTGGTCCTGGCTTAGCAGATTTTGTTACATAATGCAACTAAATTTTCTATTTGCTTTAAATTTTCAATTCTATCATTGATAGTATCAATCCTTATCTTTAGCATATTTGGTACACATCTATGTAAATAATATTTTTAATGTCAATATTTTTAGTTAAATTATCTCATTTTACCTAAATAAGGTACCAAAAATAGACATTATTATTAATGCATTAGTCAATAACGATGTATAAATTATCATTTTTTTTAATATATGAGAAAGAATTTATTGGAAGACGTTAATTAGCCATATTTCTATTTTTCAATATATATCATCATCTCTTCTACATAAGCATTTTTGCACAGAATCGATCTATTTTATCAGACACATTTAGTAAACAAATATTTTTCAAATTCGAGGGTTGAAATTATATTATGTGATTCAGACTACTTCAGTTTACAACACCATTGTATGTGAAACATATGTTAGATTTTGTATGGAACGATGCAACTTAGAAATTTTACATTATGCTTGTACAGTTGGGAATAAAAAATAAATGGACATAAGCATTACTAATGTTTTGTAACAAAGAAACGTCGTTTAATAAAATTATTGCTCTGCTTTAACCTTTCACAGTATGCACATATTAATGATTTAAAAATTGTATTGCACAAACTGATTACATTATTTCAATTATATTAGTAATACAGAAATGTTCATTTATTTTGTTTATATATGGTTGTTCTACTATAAATTGCAATCTAGATTGTTTAATAAATTTCCTATAAAATTTATTAATATTCTATGGAACAAATCATTGATAAGGTACACATTCTATAAAAGTGTTCAGGTTGTTTCACGTGTTTCTGAAAAGGTTTATTACTGTAAAAATTGACATCAACATTGCTACTGCACCAATGATAAAGAAATTTTTCAACGAGGTCTGAGAAATACGATCTTATTGTTGGATGTATAAATTATGTTCAAATGCGTGTTGTCAATAAAATAAAAATTACAATTAAAATGGAGGTTCATAATCATCAGTAAATATGTTTGCTATTAGCCTACTT